CTATACAGGAAGAAGAGTTCCAGTTATCTTCCCAGTTTGTAGTACAGTTACAAAATACCCGCTGAATGTGCGTCACTGGTTACAAAATACTTTGGCAGTAGAATTATGAATAAACACAAGAAGCAACGAGTTTCTATGTGAACTCTCTCACAGCCTGTGACGGACTGCATTTTGACCACCGTGACCTCACTAACAGTTTCTAATAGTAATGAAGATTTGTATCTTCATTTGTAGGAAACTTTTACAAAAAGTAAATGGATCACATGAAAACATTGGCCTTGTTAGAGAGGGGAGTTTCGAGAAGTCCAGTAATGGGGCATTGGAGAGCTCTGAGACAGGCCGGTCTTTCTGAAATCCCCTCACTGCTGCAGATGACCCGCCTTCTTTGGCTTAGTTTTGCAAAAGACCTCTTCCTGTTAAAAAAGAGTTTGTCCTTCCCACAGTCACCATGTGCTTGGCAGTCAAAGACTCAAAGGCCCAATCAACATGACTACAAAAATAAGCCCCTCCCTCCACATGGCACAGCTTTAAGTTCAAGTTGGGCACATCATAAGAGCTTCATCATTTGTGTAACTCATGGTTCTACTTTGTGAACCTAAGCCTAACTTTATTGTGCAGTACAAATTTTCACTATGAACCAAATTTTTACCCAGTTGTTTTATACTCTGCTGATTAAAAACAGGTTTGGGTTCAGATATATGACCTGTACTTTTTGACCTAGCTGTCTGTCATTTGTGATTAATCAACCTGGTAGCATCAGCTATGCAACGAGTTGTTTTTCCGCATGTGTCTTACAGAGTACTTCAATGGTGCAATGGCAGTACAAATTATGGTTAGCAAGCCAAACAGAAAAATAAGGGAGCTAAAACGGGGAAGGAAAGAACAGAGCCGTGTACGCCAAGACCTTTAGCAGTGTCGTCACCGACTTTGCAGAGTGCAGGGTCTGAATGATGACGTTATGATGACCGAGCAGTCTGTGCTTTCGTTGTTAGAAACGACTGAATTGTTACCACCTATGCAGTTTATATGTGCTCATATTTTAATACGTGTGTGTATACATGTAGAAGCTGGTCGATTATAAATAATTGACTGTGAAATTCTATAACTGGACGATCTGTTTGTAAGGACTTGTGGTTTATGAGTTTCTCTCTTTTGTTCATACTTGCAGTTGTCTTTGTTACATTAGCAAGGCTACACCTGTTTTGGGCTTTTGAACGGCATCGTTGAAGAAGAGTCTATAGCGTAAGCTAAGATCAACGTCCCCTCCCTGACCGCTGACACCGGTTGTAGTCCGAGCTCTGTGTCCATCCTAAGGCCCATCACAGAGATGTGAGCATGTAACATTTGTGTCATATATCTGTGGAGTAACATCAAGAAGTTTCCTTTCCTTGAACTACTTCAATCCTGGACACCAGGCTGTTTGCTTAAATAAATCTAACATGATACCATTTTGAGACAGTGGCACTGTTTCACATTTAGTCATGATGCTTCCTGGCATGACAATGACTAAAATAAATGCGGCATTTTTGTGCATTGGTATTGCTGTTGTTGACCTTTTAAAAGAGGTACAATGACATCAGTGTTACCAATTCACTTTCACCTTTTTAACAACACATTAATCTATGCAACTAATACAATAGAAATAAACACACCATTTGAAACGTGTCAGATTTGTTTTTAATCCGGGTCGCTCCGTGAGGTGAGGTTTGGAACAAGACATTTTATCTTTAGAGCGCACGATGTACAACCGCTACAACTCGTTGGCTTCTACACCTGACTTTTAGTAGCCAGTCCTTGTGTTGGTGAGCTGATGTTAATTTGTGAACAGGACAGAGAAGAGATGGGAGAGGCAGAGCAGCTGTCCAGCTGAAGTGCTGAAGCCCAGCTGTCCACGGGCATGATCTGCACAAGCAGGCGCGTGCAGGAATCCAAAAGAGTCACAGCTGAATCTGACTTTGTCACTATATTCGTGGATCAACACACAGACACAGAACCACGGCCACAAGGCAAGGACGGACGAGTGCATGTGCCGCCCGAGGACGAGCGACCTATAAATGTCAGACAGCGTGTCATTCAAATAAGGGCTATATATGAAATTTGGCCACCGACAATTAGGTCAGTCTTTTTACGTGCATTCATGGGTTATGGGTGTTAAATATACAGAGTTTGGATAGTTTATAATGAAGCTCAGCAGTTGTCCTCTCAGGATAATGTGCATGATTATTATAAGGAGAAAGCAGATCGCAGTGCCACGGTGCCTGACTGTCATCGGACCCTGTGTATTTCACTTGCACGTCTGTAGCATGACCCCGAGGATTAGGGAGTTTGCTGAGGCTTGCTGCATGTGTCTGCGCGTGTGTGTTGACAGGAGGCCGTGGTCTGCTGTGGTCAGTGTGCAACACAGGCCTGCATCCCAACAGGTGCTGAGCGTGTTGGTCTCTGATGTTGAATGGGCTCTTTGTTTCAGAAGATTCACCCTCAGAGAGAGGGCAGAGCCAGCAGAGTACCCCTGCCCCAACCTCTCCCCGCACACAGAGTTATCAGCGGGAGGTCATGTCGGTATTTGTTTATCCCAACGTCTGTGCAACTGTGTTTGAGTAACCCAGCTATCCTTCATTATACGTATTAGCTTTAAAGAACAGGAGTAGGTGTGAGCAAACAATTTAATAGCATAATCTGTAATCATCGAAGCTTTTCAGAAGCTTTTCAGTCACAAGCTAGTGGGAAACGTCTGATGCTGAGAAATTACACCACCAGAAAGACCCAAAAACTGCGCTTCCTCTAGCGGTCATCTGACTCTCAAAAAGCGAGTCGATTCCCATAGACTCTGATGTTTAAACAGCATTAAAAGGAGGTTACAGCAGTGGCAGTGGTATTTTGTGATTTTTACAGAAGGTATGAAAAATGTTCCTAATCAGTGTAAAAAGGATGAATATTACTGCTGCGTATGTGCAGATCATAAGCTCATTTTAAATACTTTAGATTCTGTTTAGTGTCCAGCATTATATTCAATAAATCATCAGTTTGTAATGGCTGACCTGTGGGCATCATGTATCTCTGAAAATAAACAGAAACACAGGCCTGATTTACTGTTTAAAAACAGTAAATTAAAATATACAAATTAAAAAAAATCAAATCAGCTGAATTAAAAGGCTCGAGCAGTTTGTGACATGCTTAACTGTCGATGTCTACAGTGAGTATTGTTGAAAAATGAAGGTAAAGTGTGGGCTGCTTAAACGTGTTTCATTCAGTCAGCTAATCTGAAGGTGCTGCTGAGCCGTGCCTGTTTATTACACTAGACCAACAGCTTTCCTTGTTGAAATGCTAAAGAAGTTAACAACTGATCTCCTCTGCATCACATATGCTGACCGAGCTGTTAAGTGAGAGAAAAGTCATCTCTTACACATCAATGAAGCTTATCTTCTTGCTAATGCTAGCTGTGTTTCCACACAAAGCTCATATCACAGCTGATCTCAAAGTAAAGGCTGATCCAGCAGCATCCTGTCTCACCTGCTGGTCTCCCACCAGTTTACCATGGAAACCCAGAAGTTTATGCACAACCTGCATGACCACCAGAAAAAAGTTGTTCTCTATTTTTGTTTAGCACTCAAGTCAGTGTTAACTAGAGACTGATATGATGGTTAAAATATTTTAAGCACTGCTGTATACACGGCCAGTACACTTAACTGCATCAACGCTTTCCTGAGTTTATGGGCTAAATCACAAATTCTGCATGATAACATTTTAAAAAGCTTTATCTATCTGGTTTGATAATTAGTTAATGACTTGTGAGAGACATGTCGTTAACCAAGAACACTCCTTTTCACATGCCTTTTTAAAAAAATCTTTCAACTTAAAATCTTCGAGTCTTAAAAACATGATTTAAGACACAACCCAATAATGTCAGTAGCAATGTCCACGTCTTTGCTTACAGGCAAATAAATTAGTGGTTTGGCTCTCCATGCTCCTTTCAAAACTGTCGAAGTGAATTAAATTTATAGATGAAAAAACCTTTGATATGCATGATATTCACAAGAATTGAGAACAGAGTTATGAGCTACGTTAGTGCCTGAACTCTTTCCTCTTTTGAGTTGGTGGCTGCACACCATACCATACCACTATTTGCTATGCATTCAACACTGCCCATTGTTTTTGGTTTAGGTGTGTGTGTGTGTGTGTGTGTGTGTGTGTGTGTGTGTGTGTGTGTGTGTGTGTGTGTGACATCTGTGTTCTCATACTGAATGTCTCCCCACAACACGGCTACCACAGAAAACAAGGCTTAAGCTGCAAGAAACTCTCACACACCACATGTTATATATACACATGTCACACATAGAAGAGCCGGGTACTTTTATGGAATCGAGAACTAACGATGGCTAACAATGCTTACCAATGCTTGGCAGTGGTTTAGCTACAAAACATTCACAAGACCCAGCAGCCACTCTTCTTTTAGAAATTGCAACTGGGATTCAAAACAAGTTTAGCAAAATGTATCGCCCACAGGGGAAGCTTTTCTATTTTTCTCTTGATAGGAAGTGCAATCTGGAAGTGAAAGCAAAGAAATATGTCACTGAAAGAAGTTAACAAGTTAATTTATCTCTGGAGTCTAAGTTATTACAGGTAATAATCCTGACCTTCACCATTTCCATCATAATAAGTCATCTTAGTTTCTTTTCCAACTATTGGTAATCGGGAAACAAAACGCACGTATGAGTGATGCATATCAGAAGCTGTTAACAGTATTTTTTGCTCATTCCTAAAACACAGGACTATGGCCAGCGTAGGGTTTGCAGCTGGGCTTGGCATTGTTGCCACTGAAGAATTAGACCCTCAATCGGGTTATGATTTTTTCCCCTGTGAGTCTGACGATTGAGTTCGACTCACATTTTGCAAGAGGAAATACCATTATACGTGACCGCAGCCTATTTCCTGTGTGGTAGTACCACATGCAACCTTCTAACCCTTATTTCATTTGTCTCTCTTTTTTTGTTGTTGTTTAGAACCAATTAGCAAAAGCTCTGTATGACAACACAGCAGAGTGTCCAGATGAACTGGCCTTTAGAAAGGGCGACATCCTCACAGTGATAAATCCAAACGTGGCTGGAACCAGTGGGTGGTGGATGTGCTCTCTGTATGGACGACATGGCCTGGCACCTGCAAACAGACTAAAGCTCTTACCGCAGATGGTGACACCAGCAGTGCATGAAGTGCCCAGGTCAACTCATGGTAAAACTGATGACAGTGTGCAAAATATCTACCAGACACCCAGCATCCCCAGAACCACCAGCAGTCCTGCTTATGAACTCATGGACACGATCTACAAGGTCCCCTCTGCTCACTTATTGGCTTCAAAAGGTTCAGAAGCACCAGGACCCGAAGCACACAAGGTACAAGTGGTTTTTTTTCTATATTTAGAAAATTATTATTTTGCAGTTTTTGGAAAGGAGCTCATTGTAGCTGATAGCCAGTCTGTTTGTCCAAGGTCAAAGTCATTCATGCTTCTTAGGAAGTGTTAATGCTCATGATTAGAGAGGTAGAAATGTTGTAGAAATGAAACCCCTGCTGACAAAAGAGCTTGCAGATGGAGACCAGGGGCCTCTCCATGGGGACAGGCATGCAGCACTGGGGTCTTTATGGGCCTGTAAAAGCCAAACAGACACAGACTTCAGACACTTTTAACTGCAAACAGCAGCACATGCTGACAGGGACCCCAGAAAAACAGAAGTGTCTGTACGGCTGCCTTTGCAGCAGAAGGAGGGGGATATATTCCCGCATGTTCACCATTTCCTCTCCTGCTCCAGGGAAGTCCTGTTTCTCTCTACAGTAGCTACCTAATTGTCGCTGAACAGCATGGTTTTCATTACAGAGCTGCATTAATTGGCAAGGTGTATGAATAATAGCACTTACAACAGGCTTCAGAGCAAACACTGTCCCCATAAACGTGTTAACGCATGTGTCAGTGGGGAAAAGTGGCTTTGATCAAAGCAGAGCAAATGGTGCCAGTCAACTCCAATATTACAGCCTGACTGTTTTGTCTGCAGCCTTCATCCTTCAGTACAGCATCCAGTCCAAATGGGAAGATGTACGATGTGCCGAACCAACCAAAAAAAGCTTCCTTTTACACTGTAAGAATGTCTCAAAGTCAAGATAACTTTAGATGATACTATTTGATTGGGCTTTGGTCCGACAGCTTCATTTTCTTTCTAATGTGCTATTCGCAGAAGACAACGCCTCCTACACCGATGCTACGAATGCAAGTTCTGGAGAAGGGCCTTAACTCTCCGGAGACTTTAATGTGTAGCAAACCAGAAGACTCTTATGTAAGTTTCAGATGTTTTAGAGGATTCATTTCTACAGAAGAGGATAGAATAGAATAAGCCTTTAATTGTCCCACAAGGGGAAATTTGGCTGTAACAGCAGCCAGAAAGACACATATACAAACAAACAGTACACAGGACACAGAACACAGAACAGAATCATACACAATTTATTTCATGCATATTTACATCAAGGACAATGGTTACTATAAACAGTTATTAAATAAAATAAAAGTAACTACAGATAAGAGGCAAACGCAGGTTGTAGTGTGAATTGGTTGATTAAATTATTGCAGTTACAGTGCAGATGTAAACATCTATGAATGCTGGGAGCAGTTTTGATTGTTAGGGCCACTGAGAAAAAAAGTGAGCACATCTTTTTTTTATTTTCCAGAATTCTGAAAAAAAAAGGTCAGAATTCCGAGATTAAAGTCAGAATTCCGAGATTAAAGTCAGAATTCTGACTTTTTTCTCAGAATTCTAGAAAAGGGAAAAAAAGACCTGCCCACTTTTTTTCAGTGGCCCTAATCCTCTTCCATAAATTTCTCTACCAAGTCATTAATTTCGTAATATCTTTCAAAGGTTAATATGGTTTCGATTTGGTTAATGTCCATCCTTTCTATAAAATTTTCACCTGTTTGGAACATGAAGCCTGAGATGTAAAAATGTATGAAGATTTCTTTTGAAATCTAATATTTTGTAACATTTTTTTTCCTTTGGCATTTGGCCAAAACAAAACTAGCATGGTAGATGTTAAGAGGTTAATGAAGCAAGGATTGGTGCCTTTTATAAATGTGGTCTGTTATTATTTTTAAATACAGAAAATCAGTCAAAACATCAAAATTAACCTGCCTGTTACTCCTTTGTCTAACAAAGTACTGCTGATTATCAGGGTAAGGACATAGATCTGACTTATGGCACTGGGATGTTACCAGCAAATTTTTGGGGTCGATGAAGTGCTAATTTGGGCCTTTATGAGTCAAGTTTGTTCCTGAACATCCAAAAGATGCTTCATTGGATCGGGTTTGGGAAACAAAAGTCCCAGGGCACTAACTCAACTGTCAGGTTTCCCGCAAAACAGATGTAGGACTTGTACTTTAAGTGTTGAACAACTTTGTTCTTGTTCACAGGTGTATCCGGTCCCACCACCCCCTTCTCAGGAGCCAAATTATGACATCCCCATTCCATCAGTCACAGAATCCCGAATTAAAATGATAGATGGATACAACACCCTTCCCAGTTCTCGCAAACCTGAGTTGATCTATGATGTGCCAGTGGGACCTGAGAAACAAAGTCCATCCCGTGGCATCTCTGATACCATGTCCAGCAAATCAATTTCCAGGCCGATGTATGACACTCTTCCAGCACATCGAAAAGAAAGTCCACCTATATTGCTTTATGATATACCCAAACCAAAATCTCCCGATATCCAGATTAAAACAAAAGTATTACTAAAAGATTACAACAAACTTCCAACCCCGAAGCCTACAGAAGAGTCTGTATATGTGGTTCCAGCCAAGGAGGAACACCTCATCCAAGGTGTCACCGATCAGCCCAATGATCAAAACCCCATAGAGTGCAGGGGTAACTCAAGCAATGATTTTGAACTCCAAAGAGTGCGTCTGCAGCGGATGAGGAACTTTCTGGTCTGTACAACCTTTCACGGCATTCAAGAAAGCGGGCAAACTGCATTGGGTGAAGATGAGCAAGGTCGAAACAAGCATCTGTCTGCAGCAGATAATCAAAGAATCAGCACGGCCTCCAGCTCTTCCAACAGCTCCTGTGACTCTCTGGCCCTGAGCTCCTCTTCCCCCGAGCTTCTGCGAGAAGTAACACTCAGTCAGGATGAGGCGTGCCGCAAACTGCTGGACTTGCAGGAGTCTGTTTGTGAAGCTGTCCCCAAACTCATGCATTTTGTCAGCAGTCATTGGAGGTGTAAGGAACATCTGGAGAAACATCTCAAGGAGATCAAAGAAGCAGCAGAGTTGATTGTTTGTTCTCTGACAGGCTTCCTAAACTTTGCCCTAGATGTTAAAGGAAATGCCCGTCGTTTGACTGATGCCAACCTGCAGACCAGGCTCTTTAAACAGCTTTCCATCATAGAGGATTCAGGTGTGATTTTACAACAAACAGTGAGTAATCTGAATGAGGCCAAATGGCCTCTAAATAAGCTCAGTCAGGAACCGGGGAAGGTCCAGACACCTGACCAATTGGAGCGCTTTGTTATGGTGGCAAGAACTATTCCAGACGATGTAAAGCGCCTAGTATCGATCATCAACGCCAATGGCAAGCTTCTGTTCCGAACTCCTCAGAGAGATCAAGAGTCTGTAAACACCACGGATCCTCCAGAAAAAAAATGTCCTGACAAAACCAAACAAGAAGGGGACTTAGCTGAGGATGACAACGATTACGTGGAGCTGCAGGTATCAACTTCTGCTCCTCTGTCATAATATAAAGATGACTTTTTAGCCACAAGAAACCCATGCTGCATACTTATTAATATATTGGCTTTGAATTTTCCTCAGACCAAGAAAGAGGAAAACAAACAGCAGGAAGTGCAGAAGGAACCTAAAGAGAATGTCACACCAAGAACAGAGACGACGAAGGTATGTCTCCTCATTAGCTGACACAGTCCTGTACAACAGACCTTTTAATTTATAAAAGGATTTTTAGTCTGAAGCAGACAAACCAGTCTAGAAGGCATGTTTACCTTTATTCTGTTTCTCCCCTGCCCAGGCCAAGCAACACTCCTCCGACTCTGGCACCGAAGAAAAGCAATTATCTTCCATGTCAGAGCACTGTAGACTTTACTTTGGCGCTCTCCAAAAGGCCATTGGTGGATTTGTGGGAAGCCTTCAGGATGGCCAGCCACCAGAGAAATTCATCTCACAAAGTAAGCTGGTGATTATGGTGGGCCAGAGACTGGTAGACACTTTGTACAGGGAAGCCCATCGTAAAGGGTCTAACCAAAGTCTGCTGTATAAGAGCAACCACCTGTGCGCTCTCCTGAAGCAGCTAGCTGTGGCCACCAAGAAGGCGGCACTGCACTTTCCTGATAAGCAAGCTCTTCGCGAAGCTCAAGAGTTTGCAACGCAGCTGGCCCAGAGAGCACAGCACTTTCGGCTATCGCTTGAGCTCTGAGGGTGAGCCCACGGTATCAAGCGTACAGATCTATGTGAAGAGGAAGGTTTTATTCATCAGTCATGTAGCTATTTCTTTTTTAATCATGTTTATAGTGTACAACTTCTGAGCCTAACTATGCTGTTGCTTTTGCTGATGAATGCAGGTTACTGTTTAAATATTAACAACTGTAGAAAAAAGCCGCCGGCACAGGTTATTTCAAAAAGGTATTGCATTTGTACTAAAAGGCAGTATCAATATAAATTGCACATTCAAGATGCTGTAATTAAGCCAATGTTAAAATGCATTTTAAGTACAGAGTATAAAGTATTTTTTTCTAGACTTATGGGAAATGTATATTCTTTGAGTTTTGTTGGTTTTCTTCATTGTTTTTTTTACTATATTGTGTATGGAACATATTCTTCAGAGTAGCATGTTGTTACAGTCTACTTTTTGTTAATATCTATGTAAATATTTCAAAAAACATTTGTTATGCATTCCCAAAATTTACTTGACAAAAGACTGAGTACAACATATGTTGAAGTTCTGTTGATATTGAAATAAAAACACAAACACACACAACTGAAAACTTTATTTTTCTGCTTTGTTAATATGTTATAGAAAATAGATTTTTTTAAAAAGGGACTGGAAATGAGAACATTGCACCCCTACAAACTGTTCCGCCGGCTATCTTAGTTCTTGGTATTGAAATGATGCTTTTGCATGAGATCAAAGGGGAAGATTTGTATTCTGTTTCTACCTGTTTGCCTGGATGTTCTTTTCAGTACTTCTGTTTTATTTATTTTCACTTGCTTTCTGTGAGCCAGTTAGCCTGTTTTCTCTGTTTTAATTTTCTGTGGTATTCTGTCATTCAGTCAGCAGAAATTCATGCAGGGCCAAGCACGCAACAAAACACTGTGAGGGGGATTTACGGGCCATGCATTAGCCCTTTAAAGCATGAAATAAATGTCAAAAAGGTTAATGGTATACAGTTAGTGTAAAGGTGAAATTAAATACATGAATATCATTTATATGTGATAAATATCATTAGCTTAAATTCAGATTCAAATATAACTCTAACCATGAGCACCACAGCCACTGAGCACCAGCCCACCACAGTTCTTTACTGAAAATGTACGCAGTACACCAAGCTAACCTGTTACTCCTTCACGAAACCGCCGAGCGTTTTCATGCGACTGCTGAGTAAGGCCTCAGTTTGTTTGCTGCAGGACAGTTCACAATATGAAAACAACTTCACATCATATACAGATCTGTTATCTGATTTAAAACATCAGGACATTACACGTAAGCTTTAAATTTCCACTTTATCAAATGTCACTGAGCAGTCCTTACCTTACCAAATCGAACCTCTCTTCTTTCGTCCTGTCTTTCCCCTCTCTTGACTCCATCTCTGAGTGAAGTTAGCTCTCTTTCTCCTCTTTCCCTGTGAAACACAGCAGCAACACATTGTGTGACAACCTGCACACAAACAGTTTGTGTGTTTGCTGTTAGCAGATAGAAAGGTTACATTTGAAATGACCTGGCACTTACTCCATTTATGCTCTCTCCTATCTGTAGCGCTGGCTAGAAATTCTAGAAATCTGCACCAAAAACGAGGTTCCAGATCCACTTTAATCCTCAGAATGGTGTCATAAATCAGTTTGATGTTTGAAGGCTTCCAGTGATGGCAAATAAAAACGTCCCTCTAATGTGTTAAACCTAAAGTAAGAAGCTTGTTTTGAAAATGTGGGGAGTAGAAAGGAAAGATATTTGTTTAAAAATGTAGTGAGTGAAGTAAAAAAAAGTTTAGAAATGAATAAAAACTCAACCAAAGTACAGATAATTCAGAAAATTCTACCTAAGTACAGTAACAAAGTATTTGTACTTCATTACTTGCCCTCTCTGTGAATGTGTTACACAATCTTCCTAAAAGTATCATCCCAGCTAATTCAGCTCAAACTCAGACGCTGCAATGCTCAGAGGAACTGCAACAAACTCAAAATCAGCTACACTGCCATTAAAACGTTTTATTCCCCACTTCCTGATTTCTTAGTTACTTTGTTTGTTTTTTGCATATTTGTCACATTTAAGTGTTTCAAATTTTAATATTAGACAAAGATAACCGGAGCAAATAAGAATTCAGTTTTTAAATGATTTCATTTATTAAAGGAAAAAGCCATCAGGACCTGCCTCATGTTAAAGGTTAAAGTTAGATAAAGACACATATGGGTTGTTTAGAACGGTTGCCAGGAGAAAGCCTTACCGAGGTCATTATTAGGGATGTGTGCAACAGGACAACTGGACTAGTCGCACATAAATGACCAAAAGACAGTAAATTATTATTTCCTATATGTTATACAGACATTTTCCGTTAACACTAATAAAATTAGATTATGGGTGATGGAAATGAGCTTTTTCTGAATCATGGACGGGCTCTCCTTTAGTAACAGCGTGAGGAGGTCAGTCATTTGGGAGTGACAGAGTAGAGCTGCTTCTCCTCCACATCGAAAGGAGCCGTCTGAGGCTGTCACCTCCTGGGTCAGAGATGGCATCTGTCGGATGGCCTGGGAACCACTTGATGTTTTTCCGGATAAGCTGGAGGTGGGGAGAGGGAGCTCTGTACTTCCCTGCTTTGCCTGCTGCGTGACCTGACTTCAGATAAGATAAGGAAAATGACTGGATGACGTATGTTTTGTTATTTTAAATTCAAACTTTTATTGAAGTGGTTATCATGACAACAACATGGATCATCTATAATTGACGGTAAGTAGCAAGTAAAGTTCTTTTATGTAGTGCTTTTCACAGACGTAACAGTCACGAACAATTCAAACACAATATCAAAAGAATATCAGCAAGAGGCCCGATTAAACAGAAAAGTTTAGTTGTTTTAAAAAGAAAAAAGGCTAAGAGGCTACAAGGAAATATAAAATTAAACTTGTTAATTAGACATGAGTGTTTACCAGACAAGCAAAGTCACAAAAAATCCTACTGGCTGCATTTTAGGATAGTTGAAGCCGGTGTTTAACCCACACTGGAGATTAAACATCAGGATATTTCAGTCTCTGCTGCTTCAATACTGGACCTCATTTGAAAAATCTATTTTGAGTTTCTTTTTGTTCCGTTTGCGTTACAGTGAAATACAACCATTAATGGCGTAATTGTTCTATTTCTGTCACTGAAGCGTGAAAACATTTTTACACCCCGAAGTGATTGTTAGACATCCGAGTCATTACAGAACAGGAACTGGATTTAGGGTGGTATGCTGTCTTTCCTAACTGTGGACTGTGCACAATAGTTAACCTTTTACCACCCACTCTTCTGCTTGGGTACTACCTTTAAAACTGCTGGTAGTATATAATGTCTGTGGTGAAAAACACAGCACTGCAATGAAATGAATGAACAAAAAGACCTTTAGAGAGGCCACTGTTCAAAAGATGGGGAAGATTATTTTCAATCAATGCATGTTTTACATCTCTGTAAGCTTTTGTTTTGGTTGTCTGTGAAGTTGGGCGAGCAACAGTTCGGGCAGATTTTCTCACAAATTATGAGATGTTCATTCAAATTTTGCTGATTTAAATTTGATGCATAGCTACAATAATTTTTGATTCTTTTGATACCTGCTGGCTTTTCCTCTGAGGCACTTTTACCTTCTCTATTCTCTTCTCCCAGTTTGCATTGCACTTTTTCTTTTGATCATTTGGCTGGGAGTTAGCAAGTGGTTCCAGACAAGCATGAAGAACTACAGGCAACCATAGAAATCTGCTAGCAAACAAAGCAATCACTGATCAACTGATCTCACCCACCGAGTGCCAACAACCTCCAGGAACAACTGCCAAGCCGTCGGGGAATACACATTTCCCTAGAAACCAGTGGTTGTACCACGTCTAGTATATGGTGGACACATCTAGAGCTATGTGTGCATCGTATTACACCAGAAACCTTATCAGGTTATGAAATGATTTAACCACATGCAACGCTTCCACTGTGTCATTGTGTAACAAAAACTAAACTAAAATGGAAAACTGAATGTAGAGCTACCTTTAGCAACAATAACTTGAAGTGTTTTGTGTCGAATGTTTTTGTGAAGGAATTTTGTCCCTCTCGTATTTACATCATTGCTTCAGTTCATTGGAGCGTGCATGGATAAGGAGGACCTCATGGTCAGCTCAAAGGTCCTGCTTTACTAACCACGTGCATGCACAAACCTGTGCATAAGTCATGTGTAAGAATGCAAATCAGTGATTTATCAATATTTATGTACCTAAATTTGTTTAGATTTGTGCTTTATGAACAACATTAGAAGTTCCTCTGACCATCTAGATCAACCAATGATGGCCTGGTGGAGTGAAGGGTGTAAGCTTGAACCTTTTCAGCCTAAAGATATTCCAGTATTGCTTATCTCATTTGATCTTATCTTAAATTCACATTGTTTATATCATTGCTTGATGTTGGTTTCTTCTTTTTCTTGTAGTTTAGACAGGTTCACACATCACTGTGAGTGCTTCAGGGGAAACAGTATTCACAACCTTCATTATTTTAACCAGAGCCTCGAAACACTCAAAAGTTGTTCCTTTTCTGGCTTCCTCTTCGGACAATTATTTCAGGTTTTTTCAGTCAGGACTTTCTATGACTTTCCACTTAGAGGTGCGTGCTTCTGTCTTACAACATCGTCACTGCTTTATTTGCTTCATCTGAAGGTAAATGAATTTGCTCATAGAGAGCAGATTGTGGTTGTGCAGATTGTATGCAACTGGTAAACAGGTACAGGGCTATTGGTTCAGAATGACTGATTTATTAACATGTTAATGGTGGTAAGAACAATATAGGACAGATCAAAGAGTCATTTTGCTTTCACACTTTGGTTTTTTTGTGCAGTTTAGCATCATTGCTAAGCACATATTAGTAAATGCGGTCCATAGTTCCAGAAGTCCAGTTGTTTTCTCCCAGCAGCCTTTCCAAACAAGCCTCTTGGAGCCATTAGAGGAACTGCAGTTTTTGGTACTTTGACGCTGGCTTCGGTTTCAGTCCGAAGGTTTGCTAATGGGGAGTACATCAGTCTCAACACAAGTTTCAGTTTTAATATATTGTTGTATGGTTTGAATTTTACTACTAATTCATATTCTTAACCGTCACACTGAAGACTTAGTTTGGCAAAAACATTGCTACTGTAAGTCCAGCGATTGTAGTTTAT